GGGGGAAGATGGCAGCTCGCAAGGCTGGCAGCAGATAATAATTTTCATGGTGAAGGTGTTACACAATTGGTTGTGAACAATCACAGTTATTGATCCCACTTCTTGTCTTCTTGCACTTATGTGTGACTCCGTTCACTTTAGATCATTCCTGGTTGACATGTGCACGAGGAAATAAAATTATGTCAAATTCATAAGATCGTCAAAAAGTAGGGCTGGAAAGGACCTCATGAGATCTTCATCTAGGCCAACTGCCTACTTAAGGCAAAATCATCCCTGGCTATATCATCCCAGCCAAATGTCTGTTCAACCTTCTCTTGAAAATTTCTAGGGATGGAGATTCCACAGCTTCTCTAGGCAGCCTGCTCCAATGTTTGACCAACTCCATAATCAGAAAGTGCCTCCTAATCTCCAACCTAAATTTCTCTGCTGAAACTTAAGGTTGTTACTCCTAGTCCTGTCCCCTGTGGCCCCAAAGAAAAGCCCCACAGAGAAAATTTATGTCACCAGGAATAATTCTTGATCTGTAGAGACAGTTGGTCCTCCCTACATGGGTTTGCCTCCATGCCCTGTGTGATTTGGGTTTCTCTATCAAAAGTCTCAGATGATCACCTGGTGTCCATTGACATTTAAAAGTAGGTACATATTGAACAAGAAATACCACTGATCTACTCAGTTTCTCCAAATGGAAAGCTAACTCATTGTACGTTGTCTGCTGTGGTTAGGTTAAATAGTTTGATATCCCATTGTATAGTTTGTTTATTTAAAATGTTCATAGTTTTCCATTGTTTTGATTTTGCAATGTAGAAATGTGGTACTGTTTTTCAGATGGGCTGTGGATTTAATAAAATCTGTACTGTCCCAGCAAGGTCCTTTTCTGTGGTGGTGGCAAGAGTGGGGAGGGGGCAGAGGGCAAAGAGGGGGTCCTTTTTTTCCTTCCCACCTGACAATTCACTGAACTGGATATATCATCACCTTAGGACCAGCTCACTGAAGGGTATGATGGGCTCCCCCTTGAAAAGGTTTTCCCATGAAATCTGGAGGTCTCTTCACCCTGTAGTGTCAGCTCAAGTTCTCGATCTGGGTGGGTAAAGTTCTATGGCTGGTCTTATATAGGAGGATCAACTTGAAGATTACATTGGTTTTATTTGGCCCTTAAATCAAGGACCGTGTGGAGTTCTGAGGTTTCTCTGACAGACCAAGTGCATGGTGGCCTGGGGAAAAGCAACCCAGACATATTGGGAAATGAGCAGCTATAGCCAAATGCTGGTGTTGTCCTGGAAGTGAGGCAGCCATCAGGGCAGTACAGCCATATGCAGTCCTCACTTACACCACTTCCATGCTGTCACTGCCACACCATTGCCATCAGCTCCTGACTCTTACTTCTTCACGTGACAGCAGTGCCAGAGATCCCTGCTGCTGAGGGGGAAACTGCAGGTCTCCATTGCAGTCTAACTCCTGCTGTGATTTATCTGTGGACATTCCTGAGAGCAGGGTGCAGAGTCATGCTGAGGTCTCCAAGCTCAGGAATGTGATCAGGAGCACAGCATACTATATATAGCCAATTCCACTGCCAGCCATAGATAGGAAAGGAGAAAATAACTTCCTCTTCAGAGAATATATAGAGTATTAAGAACCACGGGAACAGATCACGTAGAGAAAGGTAATTTCCCCTGCTTCTCTCATCCTTTACACATCACCCCTACTCCACATCCACACTGCCAGGTTTCTGAGCTGTTTCGAATAGGGTGATCTGACATGGGGCTGAGTCAGTTATTCAGGCCTACACATCTATCTGCCTTTTAGGGAAGGGTAACAACGATGATTTGGAGGCTTGAGAGGCTGAGTTATGAGTTGAGATTAAAATACCTTGAGGTGGGATCTTGAAAGGCATTTGGCACTTGGCCTGACTAGTCCTACTGAACAACAGTTGTCCTCTTTGACTTGAATGGGAAGAAAGTTAGGTCAACAGTGAGCCATTTCAAACCTCCCCCGTCCCCAATATGTATAGCTTGACTAATTCTGGACCAAAGAGGAATATGAAAATGACCTCTAACTATTGAGCATGGGCACCAGGCAAGAGAGAAATTATTCACAGTGCAACAGGGTGTAACAAGGAACCAGGGGGTGAACCACAGCAAGGGGGGAAATTTAGGCTGAACTTAATGAGCAGAATCTTCCCAAGAATCCAGCAGCAGAAGGACCTCCCATGGGATGCGTTGGAAGTTCCAGAGTTTGGGATGTCTAATGCCAGACTGGACAAAGCAGGACAAAATGTTTGGTAAGATACACCTTGACCTGGGCAAGGAAACAGACTAGAAAATTGGGTAAGTCTTTCCCAGCTCTGATGTCTAGAATCTCCCTGCTGCCTGCCTTAAAATCAGCTTTCTCATTTACAGGGATGTACAGTGGACCTGCTTAAGCATGCATGCCTCTTCCTCTGTGGCTATTTAAATCCTTTATTGCAAAATCTTCCAACATAAGTGTCTGTCAGGGTAAACTGATTCATTGCTGAGGTGGCGTGGGATGGTCATAGCTTAAAAATAAGCAAGTGATTGCTTGTGTACATCTGGGATAACGCTGGGTGTCATGTCCGATCAATCCTGAAAACAGAGACAGTGCACACAGAAGGGTTTCAGTTGGAATACTAGAAATGTCAGTGCCATAAAAAGGCAGCACAGAACAATGTTTTCTAAATGCTGAGACTCCAGGCTGTGTGGCAGCATTGCTACACCTGTAAGTCTCTTATAAACAGGAGATAAATGCACTCCAGTTCTAATCCACTTAGGACAAGTCAGGATCTCATGTGGGAGAATCTATTACTGGTATTGGATCCATACAGCCACTTGTAATACCAGGTACAAAAGAGAACTCTCTTGCTGTGATGTGACTCATTCCACCAGGAAGGTCTATCATGATTCAGAGGCTCAGGGCTTGAAAGTACCTTCATCAAATCTCTACATTCAATGTCCTTCTCCCAGACCTAGGGCTACATCTACCATCCATGAGTGGATTGTGCGCTGGGTATCTTCACAGGGAGCACCTTGCCATAAGCCCATGCTCTCTGGGCTCTGCATTGTCTGAAGATCTCCAGGTGGAGTTGTGAGGAGCTGGCCCTAAGCTATAAAGTCCTGCCTATGTAGAGGATAACTTTTCTCACCACGGAACAGTGCAGCAGTTTCATTAGAGATTGTTTGATAGGAGAGAAGGAAAGACAGGTTGGGAGAGTGTCTGGGAAGGATTGAGGCAGACAAGGTTCCTTGGGTGAATTTGATATCTTTTATTAGACCAACCCAAATGCCTAATAATAAAAGATATATCTAATAAAAGATATATCTAATAAAAGATATCAAATTCACCCAAGGAACCTTGTCTGCCTATGTCCTTAGACCAACACGGCTACAACCTAAACCCCTGGGAAGGATTGAGTATTTTTCTGTAGTAAAAAATGAGTGAGGATTGAGAATTGGCATTTTCCATGGGCACCTTCAGTCCAACAAAGGGTGCACTCAATCTAAGGGGGCGAGGGGTGACTTGAACCTAAAAGGTTGAAGACACCTGGCCTAGGAAACCTTGGGATGCCCTTGTGTGACTGCAGTGCCCCCTAGTGGTACAGTGGGGCCATTGCAATTGCCTGCCTCCTAGCTAAAGTGCAGGGATGAGAGGACCCGATCCTGTAAACCTTCAAGGCTTTGGAGGGTGGTAGGCTCAGTAGGTGGCCTGTGAACCCTGCTTCCAGGCTGCCCTGGGCTGGCTTCCCCCCATGCCTCAGTAGACTTGCACAGGAAACCCAGACCTGGTCTCCTGCCCAGAGTGTTATGAGGTTGGCAGGGGAGGTGGGCTGATGCAGGACAGGGGTGCCTCATCCCCACCCCAATCCACAAGCCCCCTCCCCAGGCATCTCGCTTGGGTTAGGGCTGGGGCTGCTGATTCCCCTGGGGAAAGGGCAGGAGCACAGTAACCTGGTACCCCCTGGGGTAAAGCAACCACCTCTCCTGAGCTTCCTGAGAGGGGTCTGAATCTCAGGGCTGCAGCTCCATGTGCCTAGAGAGTCCCAGAAGTGGGACATGCATCCTGCCCTTGGAAAGCTGGTCTCATGGTGGCCAAACCCCCTTCTCCCCTCCAAACTGTTTCTGCTGTACCAGGCCCCGTTCTGCTGTGCCTGCTGAGGTAGCAGCACAATGCTGCCAGGTGCCACGGGAAGGCAGCCATGCTGCTTCTGGTGTGGGGCACTGTCCTGGGTTGCATCCTGAAGCAGCAGCCCTATGTGCATGCTAGCTCCTCATGAGCTCAGCCCACCTGCAGTGCCATGTGAGGGTGCTGCTAGCCTGCCCTCCGCCTGGGTCTGCAGGTCTGTGGAGTGCACGGGGCAGTGCCCACAGCTGTGCTCCCTGAAAGCCGGTTGCTTTATTCAGGGAGGAATTCTCTATGGGGCCTCTGCCCATGTCACAGCTGGTTGAGGGTAGCCATTGAGGTTATCTTGAGTGTCTGCATCCCAGTAAGGCCCTGCTGGCTCAGCCCTACCTCTAGCCCTTGTGGGCAGGTTCCTTCTGGCTTTCCTGGCTTTAAAGTGGGTCACTTTAAGAGCAGGTGGCCTGGGCAGAGCTACGAACTTCCCACCCTCCCCTCTGGCCCCAAGGGTAGGCGGTGCTCTCTAAAAATAACCCCTGCTAGTCTCCAGCCAGAGCCTCCCTTGAGGAGAGCTACTCCCAGGCACTTTGTGCCCACGGCTAGGATCTGACAGGGTCCCTCTTTCCTGGCTTCTCTGGGGAGGCTGATCCACTGACCAGCCACAGAGAGAGCCCTTCCGAAGGAGCAAAGCGAGGCTGAGAGGTAAGAGCTGGGGCTGCTGTGGAGATGGCACAGGTTGACATGAGCACAAAGAGCCAAGCCAGGCACCCAGGTGGCACAGGGTGCCCGAGCACTGTATGCTGCTGGAGCAGGGAGAGAAAAGCTCCAGTCAGAAGAGCTCCTGTTTTGGGCAGGCCAAAGCTCTCTAGTGCTGGTACCACTCGGTCCTGCATAAAAATTGCTGCTTGCTTTATATAGCTCAGGAGGGAGCAGGGGCAACACAGAGCTCTGCTCCTCTGCCCTCCTCTCCAGCAGGTCGAGAGTGTGGTAGAGGAGAAGCAGGCTGCAGGAGCCCTGACTCCACTGCTGGGGTCCCTCTGAAATGCTTGTAGCCTCTGGCAGCAGGTGGGTTCTCTGCTGGCTGCGGTGCGCAGCCTCCACGCTCTGTGGGCACGGAGCCTGCTGGGGGCTCACGAGGAACGGAAACACTGGGCCACATTTGACGCTGTTGTGGCATGGGGATAGAGGCAAAGAGGAAGGACAAGGAATAGGTGGGATGATCTAGTACTGGACAGACCTCCAGGTGGTCTACCTCCTTGCCAAGAGTTTGCAGTCAGCGGGGCACAGGGAAGGAGAGGGGAGTCAGGACACTTGGACTATAATCTCTACCTTGTTGCCAATTTACTCTGTGACGTCAGGCATGTTTCTGCCACTTTCCATGCCTCGGTTTCCCCTCCTGCCCTCTGCCTGTTTCTACCATCTGGCTTTGAGGCTGAACTGTTTCTTTTCACGTGTGTGTACCAGGCCTGGCACTGGGAGCCGTCCTCTCTCTTAGGTGCTCCTGTACTAGAAACCATGGCAATGCGCCAATCTATGCCAGCCAAGCGCCTGGCCCATAACAGTTTAAAATGAGAAGGCTCTCTCACGTGTGCACAACCTCCTGTTCAGCATTGTCAGCGGGTGCCAGAAGACAGTGCACCACGAGGGTGACTTCTGATCACACCTCTGTTAGATGTGGTGGGTCAATGACCCTGCTCCTAGCTGGGCTTCCAGGCAGCTAATGGTGTGGAAAGTGAAATAAATATCCGGTGTCCAATTTCCAAGAAGATGAGGCCCCTAGAGCACGGGGGTGCTGGGAATGTACTTCCTTCAAGCAAATTTTCTCCCTTCTCTAATGTTTCCCAGAGGGGAGTGTCATTGAGGTCCAGGGATGCTGTGAGCATACCTGGCCCTGAGGGAGTGCCCCAGGGTTTCCCCCAGGAGCTCTGAACCTCTGGGGGGAGAGAGATCTGCTTGGTGGGGAGGGAGAAAGGTCTGCATGTGGACGCCTGCTCACTGGAGGGCTCATTACTAGCTCTGCCTCTGCTGAGAAATCACTTGGAGATTCAGCCTTTCTGAAGGCATGCAGGGGCTAGAGGGCAGGAGCCACTGATGACTTTCCCTCACAGAGGCCTCAGCTCACTGCTCATTGCCCTCTTTTGTTACTTGCTGTGCAGAGTGGAGGAACTAACTTGTGTTTCCATGTGATATTCTCAAGACAGGAACTTGGCAAAAGAGCAGCACCATGGTGAGGAACGTTGATGACTTTGACTTCTGCCTCCCGTCCCACCCCCAGACCATGCTGGAAGGCCTGCGGGCTCTGCGCACCAATCCCAAGCTCTCTGATGTAACCCTGGTGGTGGGCGGGCTAGAGTTCCCCTGCCACCGCAGCATCCTGGCACTCTGCAGCCACTACTTCAATGCCATGTTTGCTGGCAACTTCATTGAGAGCATCTCGGCCCGGGTGGAGCTCAAGGAGGTGGATCCCGTCTTTCTGGAGACGCTGATTGACTTTGCTTACACAGGGAAGATCACCATCAACCAAGGGAATGTGGAAGGGCTGTTCCGGACCTCCAACCAGCTCCACTTCCCTACTATCCGGAAAGTCTGCAGCCGGTACCTGAGGCAGCAGATGGATGCCACGAACTGCCTGGGTATTTGTGAGTTTGGGGAAAACCATGGCTGCCCAGAGGTGTCTTCTAAGGCTTGGGCTTTCCTGCAGGAGAACTTTGAAGCTGTGTCACATCAGGAAGAGTTTCTCCAGCTCTCCAAGGAGAGGCTGTCTGTCTACCTGTCCAAAGACCAGCTACAGGTACAGGAAGAGCAAAGCCTTGCCGAGGCCATGCTGAGGTGGGTGAGGTACGATAAAGCATCGAGAGTTCAGCACCTGCCAGAGCTCCTGGAACTGGTGCACCTGGTCTCACTGCCAGACCAGTACCTGCAGAACCTGCTCTGCTCAGAGCCCCTGATCCAGGACTCGGAAGCCAGCAAGGCTGTCATCACCAGATACCAGAGCACGGTCAGTGCTGGGAGGTACAGCAGTGTCTGTGTCTAGGAGGAGCTTCTATCCTGGGAGGAGATGCCCAATGGGAATGTGGATGCTGTCAGATTCCTAGTGGCTGCCAACCAGCCATTGGTAACTCTGCTCCACAAACGATCCAGACAAACCCAAAGTCCCCAGTTAGCTCACATTATAAGTAGGCGCTGGTAGATCCATCTGGAAAGCTGGGTATAATGGAACAAAGGATCCCCTTCTACTGGAATATGAGTGCCTACACTGGGTGGGTGTGGTTTAAATTTACAGTTTATGTGGCACCATAAAACTTTTAGCTAAGGCCTTCCCTAAGGCACTGGTGAGCAGACAAAGTGGTTAGTCAGTTCAACTCAAGTGACCAACACAAACCTTCTTCTGAAATGTGATCTGATCCCACATTGTTCCTAGAAATCCCATAGCATTGGTTTGCATCTGCACCGTAGGGTTCTCTCAGAGCCTGGAAGCATGAATACCACTGGAAAGCCTGTTCCAGTGAGTATTTTCAACCCAGCTGCAAGCAGAGCATACCACAGTTCTTGCAAAGAGGAGGACCCAGGGGGGCTGAGTCTGCTGGGCTGGCCTTTGTACGAGCACTGTGATTCCTGGGTGCCAGTCTGAGTCCAATTAGTGCTTCTCTGACTTTCTTGGGTAAAATAAGCGTGCACTATTTTGTTTTTGTTCATGATTTATTCAAAATAGGCAGGGCCTTTACTTGTTTGATTGACAAGGTGCTTCCCACTCAACCTGTTTCAGGAGCCCTGCTCAGTCTTTTGGCTTCTGTTCAGAAGTAAAACCAGAACCTTTTTCAAAAGGAAACATCTTTTCACCTACCCACCCAGATCACATCTTTAAAACAAGCCTTGAAATGTACCATGAGGGCCCCCAGCCCCCCAGGGCTTGAGGAGCAAAATTCCCAACCCAAGGATGTTTCACTGAGTGTCACAGCTAAGTATCACTGCCACACTAGTACATGCAGACAGGAGAGAGATTGTCTCCTCAGAGCCGAGCCAAGCAGAACATTTTAGATCTGAATCGACAGCTGCATTTGCACCAGGCTCTGATGCAAATATGAGGTGCACATAATATCATTCATGAAGGACAGCAGCAAAATCCATATTTGGATTCTAATGCAGTCATAGAAATAAGTGGAGACCAATTTTAGGTATTGCTGAAAGCCAAGAATTTGGTGTCTGGGCTTCATCTGGAGTGATTGGTGCAGGATTTTAGGATCTTACAGCTCCATCACATCCTCTAGGGCTGTCATCAGCAGGGATCCTGGTTTTCTCTGATTTAAAAAAATCCCACATTTTCTGATTTAGAAAACCCCCCCAAATCCACATTTTTCCATGATTAAAATGAAACACTACTAATATATAGTGGTGTTTCATTTTTTGAGAAAGCCAGGATCCCTGGTCATCAGTGAGCTGCCTCCCTTAATTTTGGAGGAGGAGGCAGCAAAAGGAATCAGATGCTGACACTCATTTTGTGAGGAGTGAGAAGGCAAGCAGGAAGCCACTAGGGCTCAGTGGGCAGAAAGTGCAATCATATAGTATGGATAAAAAAGGCCTGAGGGGTCCTTTCTATGGATAAATGAGCACAGAAAAGCCTCCAAAAGGCACCTGGTGAGAGAGTGTGGGGAGAGTTGAGCCTGCATCCATCCATCCGTGCATAATTCCAGAGCTGCCCAGCTGCTGTGTGGTTGGGTCCAGGGCCTAACAGGTGATCACCAATCTGTGCTGGGGTGGGGTAAGGGGGTAGCAGCAGGTCACCCCACAGTTTGTACTCTGGCCACTGCAGTAGTTTAAGCCGTAGCATCATAAACTGAGGCACAGAGAGGGAGACAGAAAGAGTCCATCTTCAGCTTTACTGGCATTTGCATCTAATAGTAACTATAGTTAGAGTAACCAAGATCAAGAAGCAGGCCAGCTTGACAAGAGACAGCCAGGCCTGCTGGCCTCCACACACACTGGGTACAGCTCCCACAACTCTTCCCATCAGCCCTTGTTCCATTGTCCAAACTTTCTGTTCTGATTTCTGGTGGGAGCTGGCATGTTTCTAAAAGTGCAATGGCACCTGCCCCAAATACCTTTGAAAGGTTGTGCAGGGCCAGATGAACCCTTCAGCATGTGCCCAGACCCATGGCTCCCATAGGCATATGATGATCCCAGCCTGCATTCAAAATGCAGTGTTTCCAGTCCTTTTGGTGGGGAGTAAAATGTGACCTTCAGTGTGAGGGATGTGTCTTGAATGTTAGGGACATCTGTCTGAGTCTGCTGAGCCTCCTCAAGGGAAGAGCAGTGAGCAATCCACTTAGCTCCACACCCACTGCCAAAACAGACCAAGTTCCCATGCTGCCTGGCAGGATCTTGGGGTAACATGTCCCTTTGGTGCTCAAGAAAACATCACTGTGCTTTAGCCCCGAGCCCCACAGCCCAGTCAGTATGTTGCGTGGTGGGTCTGAGAAGGATGAGGTGGTATCCTGGCCTCCAAGACTTGTGACATTCTTTTAATCTTATTTAAGGTGGAGAATAGATCCTTCGTCCAGAAGAGCCTGCTTGCTCTTCCACAGAAGCTGGAGGAGGTGTTGGTCGTGGTTGGAGGACGAGTGCTAGAGGAGGAAGAGGAGGATGGGGTGCAGCCACCACGAGTCTCCAGAAACTTTGCTTTTTATGACATCAAGCCCAGTACGTACCAAACTAATCAACCAGCCCGTCTGTAAAATGGGTTCAGCATCACACATGCTCTCGCAGCTCAGACTGAATTTTGCTCCTGCAGTTTCTGGGCTCTGAAGTGATACAGATGAAATACTGTTGTAGGCTGCAGCAGAATGGTGGCCACCATGGGATTTCTCAGCTGCCCTCCCAGAGCGGCTCTCATCCCTGTGAAGCTGCTGGGGTAGTGGCCCAGGATCCAGCCATATCAGCTTAGGGATACAAGGTGTGATGTAAGATACGCAGTCATGCCCTTTCCAAACCTTTTCCCCCTATGACAGGGTCATGTCTGACAGTAACAGCATGGTGGACTGGTCTCCTCTGGGTCTCTCATATCATCTTTTGGAATAAGTAATTTAGGGTGGTGTTACAGGTTACCTTTAAACCATCATAAAGGCATTTCAAATGAGAGCCTTCACCCATTAAAGGGTTACCCTTTAAACAATTCAAAGATAAACCAAGTGAAGTGTGGGCTATAGTTGTTCTGTCTTATCCAGGGTATTGTTAGCTCCAGGGGGATAACATGCTTAATTTGCAGTCCTCCAGCATCCCAGGATGGACAGCTCCCAGCCCCTCTCCCCATTCCCACCCTTCACACTTCTATTCCTTACCCTTCTCCCCTCTACACTGAGAGCAGCTGCTTTGAGCATCTTAAGTACAGCAAAACCATGGAGCAGGGAAGCATGGTTCCTCAGCATCATGGTCTTGCTGCGCAGTGGCTCCACACTCAGCACAGAATTGCCAGGACTTAAGTGCAAGGAGAGCATGCAGCAGGGAGAGGCATGTCCAGCTTGCTGGTCTTGCTTTGTGGCAGCTCTATACTCAGAGCGGAGCTGTGGGAGGTTAACCTCTTGGGGCTCCACTCTCAGCATGGAGTCACCACCATAACTGCAATGAGACCCCAGGCTCCTGGGTCTCACTCTGGTGTAGATCTCCTCTCAGCATGGAGCTGCTGCCCAGCAAGACCTCCTGAAATTTATGCAGCAGCTCCACTACGAGAATGGAGCTGCCAGGGATTAACCCCCCAGCAACTCCACTCTCAGCATAGAGCTGCCAGTTAACTAATCACTCTAGTGATTCTCAACGAGGTTTACCATGGCATCCTGGGGTACCCTGAGATACTCTCAAAGGTGCCACACAATGTTAGCACTGTTAGGTTTACAAACATGATTCATAAGATAAACCAAGAGATTTCAAATAAGAAATCAAGATGTTAGAAGCACTTTGCCCTGTTGGGCTCTTTCTGAATTCTTCACTGCAGAAGAATTGCTCTATTATATTTTCATAGTATAAAAAATGAGTGAAATCTAAGAACTGGCATTTACTGAGGTGTGCCTTGAGTCTATCAAGGGGTGCCTGGAGTCTATTGAGAGGTGCCTCAAGTAGCCCTTCATCAAGGGTATTTAAATACATTCAGTTCACTGGAGGTAGAGAGGAAGAGACAAACAGCTGCTAGGAAGGGTACTGCCCAGACAGACATCAAGTACCTACCAAAGCCATGCTTAGCTCTTATGTGGAACTTGTCATCTATGTATTTCAAAGTACTTTGCAAAGGAAGCTCAAAATTATCTCTCACTTTGGGAAACAGGCAGAGGCTTCCCAACACTACACGGCAAGCTAGCAGCAGAACTTAGCTCTCCTGAATGGATCAGGGCATAAACCAGGCAACACTGCTCCTTCCCTGTTTGGGCCCTGTTACCACATGAACACTATCAAGGATGGGATGGTGGCAGAGAGACCTTTCATTCCCTCCAGGCCATAACTGAGGTATGTGGGTGGAGGTTTGCAATGTTTCTGCCTATGCCATACTTACTATGTGGATAAATTCAGGGATTCATGCTCTAGGGCAGCATCTCTCAACCTGTGGGTCATGATCCAAAAGTGGGTCACAGCAATATATGAAAGGGTTGTGAAGAAACTAAAAAAATGGATCAACAAACTTTAAAAAGGGATTCTCTTTTAAAGGAGAAAAACATTTGCAGGCTGGCAGAGTTCCAGCCTGCAAGGGGCTGCTTGGGGCTGGGGGCAGCGGGAGGAGGGTGATCAGGTGGGGGTGCTATGTGCAAGTGCACACGCACACATGCACAGGGCAGCCAGGCAGTGTGGAATGCAGCTCCCTGCAGGCAAGTCTATGGGGTGGTGGGCATAGATGATGTGTCAGGGGGGCAGAGCGGCACAGGCAACACCCCACCTGAGCTACAGCTATGGTCTGAGGGGAACGGTGGCAGCAGCCGGGCCATGGTGGTGGGGTAGAGCCATGGCACAGCACATGAGCAGCTGGCAGCAGGAGAAGGTGAGAGCAGCACGCCCTTTCCCCTCTACCACCTTGTCCATTACTCCTGTGCTGCCGACAGCATGTGCTGGCACAGGGGTTCTGGTGGCAGTGGCAGCAATGAGTCTCACTGCCTGTCTCAGCCCTTCTGTGCCGACTCATACCTGATGGGCCATGGAGGTGGCTCCTGCCTATCAGGTGTAGCCCCAGTTCTGCTGTGGGTGCACAAATTTGGGGGTCATGTGCTTCCCCCCATGCCCCACACCTCCCCCCAGCCCACATACCCATCCCCTGCCCCACACACTGGGGGGCTATGCTTTCTACTTAAACTGTTTACTGGGTTGGGACTGGCCATCGCTGTTTACAAATGGGTCCTGGTACAAAAAGTTTGAGAACCACTGCTCTAGGGCACCTTTAACCAGAGCTAAATCAACCAGAGAAAAAGTATTCTCCTTGCTGAGCCTCCCTTCACCTCCCTTTTCTCTGCCTCTGAGCTACATGCCATCCTCCCCTTCTCCACCACCCCAAAGACGCCTCTTGGCTCCTGTCCACCCCGCCAGGCCCTCTACTGGCAAGTCACAGTTGTGCAGGTCTTGAGAAAACATTAAGCCTTATTATCTGTGACTGCTCTGAAACAGCTTTAACTTCATGATGGCCTCACAGTCCACAGGTTGAAAATGTGTTAAAGGTAACCTGTAGCAACACCTATAGATCAAGAGAATGGGCAGCTGAGGGTGGTATGTGGTCATCCTCAGACAGCTGAATGTGCCTTGCTGTAGTGTTAGTGACAATGTGCATCACTTGTGGCCCAGAGAACAGTGCCCTGGTCCAGGAATCAGGAGGCTTGTCTGCTTGTTGTGACCCTGCCACTGACTTGGCCTAGTCACTTTGTCCTCCGTATTTAAGCAAAGGGGTCCAAAGTCAGTAGCTAGTTTTGAAAACGTGGACCTTTCCTCAGTTGGTGGGATGATACTAATGCACCTGGGAGACTGGGATGGCAAATGCCAGCTGCTATTACTTGTGGCAGAAGCAGAGTCCTCAGCTAGAGCCCCTGCACAAGAAGATATGGAGTGCCTCAGGTTGCATCTGCCTCGCATTTGGAGGTTTGACTGTAGCATGTGTAGACAAAACCAGCCTAGATTTAGTGAGCTCAGGTACAGGAGACAGTGAAGCCACAGTGGCACAGGCTTAAGCCACCAAGTACATAAGCTTGCACAGCCCAATAGAAGCCCATCCTGTCACAGCATCCCTATGACTGGTATCTAAAGGGACTTATCTTAAAGCTAGCTCAGGTCTGGCTGCTCATCTGTGCTGTGGTCACACCTCTGGCTGCTGATGCGTGTACTACTGAATAAACTGACTTTGCTCAATAGTTATAATGAAGCAGATCCACTGCATACTCTCAATGCAAGTCACTCCAGTCTAGGGGAAAGGTGTTCCCCAGAAAGTTAGGAGTATTGCTGTGCAGGTATAAGTTACACTAGTATAATGTGTGCATGTGTGTGTCAATGCCCTCAGTCAATTTCATACTGTGGTACTACTTTGTTCAAAATTAACTGGCTTTCCCACTGCCTAGTGGCATGATCCCCTAATAGTGCCTGTGGCAGGCCTCCAGCCTGGGTGGAAGGGTTCCCTGTCTGCTCTTTACTATGGAGTAAATTTACTACAGTGGAAAATCCATGGTAAATGACTACAATATTCATGACATGTGCCTGTGCTCTGTCATGGTGGCTCCTTTGTTCCTCCCTTCCAGACAGCCATAGCCTGGCTCCACTGGCCTGTGCGCCAGAACTCCCCCTGAGGTCAGTGGTGTTCGACCGGGAGAGAGCAGACTTTGAGAGCATTGTTCTTTGTTTCTCCTGGGTGCCACCGAATGAGGCTGGGGTTGGCACCAGGAAGCGTGTGCTATGCAAATGCCTCACATTTCATGCAGCTCCAATGTCCAAGCTAATTTTAAAATGCAGCTTTAAAAAACACAACAGCCTCTGGGCTGTGAAGCTGCTCACAGTTTCTGAGTCTGTAAACCCTTTGTGAGTTCCATAATGACTCAAACTCTCGGCCCTGAGACCACGGCACGAAGCACAGCCCTGGCAGCAAACAAACAAGCAGAGCATGCCAGGATCTAAACTCCCCATGAATCCATGACATAAGAGGTTTAGACACAAGCAGCAAAGTGTCCGAGTTCAGCATGGAGTGAAGCAGTCGTCACTGAACAGGGGGTTTCAGGGTGAGGTAATGATCCATGTTCCCTTGGCTTTTGTCACTCCCTGAGCAGCTGCCCCACTGGCTGAGGTAGAGCTGGGAGCCTGTCAGGCAGCCCAGCAAACACCCAGCATTACAACAGCTCTGTTTCCTAGGTGATCAAAAGCATGAATCAGAGCTGCTGCGGCTTGGGGTGTGGGAACAGGGCATAATCCTGACAGCATGATGCAATCAGAGGAGACGTTGACAACATCATGATTGTGAGGACTTGAGCAGGAGCGGAGTTAATGGACAGATACACCTTCCCACTGGAGCCAACTTAACATAGCCATATCTCATCCTAGCCATGTGCTGTCGTAGGGGCCTATTCCAAAGGACTATTGACTTCAGTATCCAGGTTGTAAGGTAGTGGTAGAGACAGCATTGAACATTTCAGGGATACTATGGTGTGAAGTGTTTCAGTGTGAGCACAGTAATCAATAAGTGAGAGCTGTAGTTGTGCATGCCATGGGAAGCATAAGCAATCTCAGGCGGCTAGGAATCACCACTCCAGGGGTAGGGGACATAGCCCTTCCATTTACAGCGATGCCCAGACAGGTGCATTAGGTACATGAGGCCTTGGTGATTGTCAGAGGCAGGTTGCAGAGAGTTTGATACTTCTTTAAAGGTGGGCACTGCTAACATTTCATTGAAGTCAAGATCCCCAGATGGAATAAATTGGTGGAAGACCACTGAAGACAATGGAGATAGGTTGATTTCCTCCAGAGGAGTACGCAGCCTACAGAATTGGAGGATTTCCACTGCAATGTCACATTTTATCTTAGACTGTGTAGGGCCTAAGAGTAGAACCAGTTCAGTTCCATCTGAATGATTTTTTTAAGCATCCTACCCGCATCAGAGGGAACTGTGTTCTACCTGAGACAACTGGGAAACACTGGTTGGCTTTTGGAAGAAGCTAAAATAGTCTTTTTTGGAATACAGATGCATTTAGGCTTCCTATTTTGCTCTTCCAAGGTATTTCCAGAGGTAAATGACTGGAAGTCTCCAACTATCTTCATTTTAAAGCTTTGGTGGACTTTGGCCAGCTTGGTGTACTAAGGAGTTGCTTGGTGTCCAATTCAGTATTCCTTCTACTCATACCTGTGGGGATTGGGCTGTTCATTTGCCTCAAGAACCATGTGATAAATGGAAAAGGACTAAAAAAGGACAGTGAAATCTGGAGAAACAGACAGGTTAACAATGTTAACATGATCCTACTTGTCATTTATCCATGGTAAAGAGTGTTGACTTTTGGACTAACATTAAGCAAGATAGGAGCATGAGAAAACTCAGCATATGTAGTGGTTTAAGATGGCATATCATTTCAAAGCCTTTTGATTCTTTATCACTTGGTTTTTCTGTTTTCCAGAGAGATGGATGGCTCTTCCGGATTTTCCCGATTACAATAAATGGGGCTTTTCAGTGGTGGCGCTAAATAACGATGTTTATGTCACAGGTATGTAATGCAGGCTCCGTTCTTGAGCCCACTCATGGAACCTGAACTGAACCACATTTGTAGACCCCCTCATACATTCTTGGGTTCAGTCATCCTGGTGACCTCTCCATTAGCTCTTGTCTTGTTTGGTCAGAGACAGTAGAAGACAATTTAATAAATGTTCCTCTGCAGCTGGCATCCAGGGTATGCTAAGCCAACAAACAACAGCAGCTTGGCAGAAGTTCTGTGCCATCACACTGGCCTTGAGCAATTCTCACATGTTATGGAAGACTGGAGCTCTCTGATTTAATTAATTGACATTAATGAATTTTAGTTAATGTAATTGCCAGACCACTTCAAACAATAATCCATGACAGCATAGTGTCCTAAATTAATTGTGTGCGACACTGTGAACATCATACCCTCCCCCTTGCTTGGAGGGGGTAGTTTCTTGTGAGAGAACTCGTGCTCTCTTCCCACCAAGGTGGTACTGGCTGGAGTTCCTCTCTCTCGAACTGTTGGGGATCAGGGTTTCTTAACTGAGAGGTCTCTCCTCGGGGTCTTATTCCCTCGCAAAGTATCCCTCCCCTGAAATGTAGTGACTGTTCCAGACTTCTGGTTTTGGTGAGCAATAGATTAGTTGGTTTTTTATCTTCTGGCTTTTCTTCTTATTGAGGTGAAGCTACCAAGAGTACATGAGACTGTAGCTGGTATTTGTTTACCAATGTGTCTTCTCTGTCTGTTTGATTTAAGGCTTGCTAGATGTCAAGGTCACAGATCAAATCAGTCTTACAGTGTTTTCTTTCTTTGTGAATGGTGGGTTTCTCTTCCTAGGTGGCTCCCGAGGCACACGGCATGATACATGGTCCACAACTCAGTCCTGGTGCTTCCGCCTCAAGGAAGGTGCATGGAAACCCATTGCTCCAATGCTGAAATCCCGAACAAATCATTCCAGCGCTGTCCTCAATGGAGAGATCTATGTCATTGGAGGTAGGGACCCTGTAGTAGACCTTCCCTGTCCACCTCACCTCTTGTGTCTGTCAGTCTGATAAGGCTACAGTACAACACATCTCACAATACCATGATCCAGTAATGCATCCTGGCAGTATTCAAGTACAAGGAGACCTGTGGGTGTTGATACCTGCAGATATCACACCCAGGGCCATGCAGCCAATGGTGGCAGGTGTCTGTTGGCACACATGCTCACCCCCCACCCCCTCCAAGCACATAGGCCCACTCCTGCTTGAGTCTTGCCTTCCTTTTACAAATGATGCCAACTGGTTGCCTATTTAAAACATTTTCAATCAAGCAGGCACCGTTGTGCCTTCTCCAATGCCACCCCTTGGATCTGAGAACAGCTCTCCATAAACTTCCTTCCAACAATGGCAGCTCATTCTCTTCCGTTAAGCCCCTCCTTCAAACTCTTCCTTGCTCTGGCACCTACAAAACCATAGAACTGATTCTGGACTATCTCAATGATGGGTATTATCTTACTGCTTCCTTTTGTATTCCATGTTTGCTGTATCCCTGTGTAGCCCCTTATCCTTAGACTATAAGTTTTATCAGGACAGGTTTTATGTGATGTGTCCATATAGTGCCCAGTGCAGTCATCATCTTACTCTCGGTTCTCCTCTTCCCTGCCTTCCTACCTTGATTTGCAGGTACCACCATGGATGTTGTGGAGGTGGAGTGCTATGACCCCTATAACAACAGCTGGAGCTCCATCAGCCCTGCCCTGAAGTATGTCAGCAACTTTACTGCAGCTGGGTGCCTGGGGAAACTCTACCTCATTGGCTCATGTGCAGTCAAGTACAATGCATTGACCCTGCAGTGTTACAACCCTGTCATAGGTAAGAAAAAGGAGACTCAACAGGGCATTCATGCATTACAGCCCAGTCCTCAATGTTACTTAGGTTTCTAACTCCCACTGATTTCTGGCACCAAAATTGAGGATATGGATCTAAGGGCCAAACTTGGAGGGTCCTTCCAAACAGTGCTGTGTCATTTCTGGCACACACACATTAGCCTGCTAACCTGCAACACGTGTGCCAACCTGTATGAAACCAGGGTACAAGGGCAGAAGCAGGGCACGTGTGAGCCAATTGACGAGCTTGTGATGCATGAATTAGAACACATATCAGCCTGGTAGACCAAAACTAGGGGCTATCATATCTGCTGGCATCGTTGTACTGTTTTTGCATCAGGAGCAAGGGCTTCCTGCAGGGAGATTCTGTACATTCTGCACCAGGTCCTAACATCTTGGATCTGACCCTCAGCTGGGATAAATCAATATAGTTCCATTGCCGTCAGGGGTGCCCCTTGCTCCCTCCTAGCCTGTAAAACCTGCACTAAGTGCTCTTAATTTAAACTTAGTCACATTCACTTATTTAAAATATAAGATAAATTCAGCTGTCTCTAATGCTTTGCTTACTGTATTTTCTTGCGTATATTCTTCACTTTTCCCCTCAAACCCAGATGGTGAAAATTGGGGTGTGCATTATACTTGAGAAAAACAGATCCTTGTTGGCCTGGAAATTTGGTGGTGAGGGGACAATGTCAGTATTAATTACCCTGGCTCTGGGAGCCATGGCATTTAATACAGCCACTGGTCCCCAAGTGCCCAATTTCTGGACCCATGGGGAGGCCCCTCAGCCAGATGTCATGGCTTCATGTGCCAAATCAGGCTGGCACACGGGGTCAGACCCACCACATGGCCTGGAGCCAGTGCATGACCCTGGACCCAGTGCATGGCCCCAGATCCAGTATGTGGTCCTGGACTGTATATTGCACTTTTCTGTTTTACAGTTTTAAGGATGATCAAACTGGGCTGGCCTCATCCAGCTTCTGCCCCCAAGACTTAACTCCCATCTCACCTTCTTTTTTAATTCAGCGAATGTTCAGTCTGCATCAGACTGTGACACTGTGACATCAGACTGGACACTTATGTACGGAGCTGGCACTGCTGTTTATCCAGTGAGACAATGTACATGTACATTACATTACAATGCTGGATTGGGACATGACAGAGCAATGATGCTTGGAGGACCTTGAAAGTTATTTTGGAGGCCATTAGTGTCTCATATTTGGAAGTCTCTTTAATTGCACTGGCACTTGTGTCCTTTGAATCACTTAAAAGTCTCAGATGCACGGTCATGGTATCATATAAAGTGACTCAGCCCTAGAATAGCTGGAGTAATATGACTTGTATGACAAGCATAGATGCACAGAATCATCTAAAATGTTTAAATAAGGCCTAGTTCTTATGTAAGACAGCTGTTCCTGCTGCACTACCTGACTAAAACACTGTAGCATGTTCAATCACCAAAAAGCATTGTCTTTCAAAGTAACACAGAGATTAATAGAGACACTAGTATCATGGGATTGTCCACCTGCACTGCTTTATGTCCCTGCTAATGTCAAATTGGTCTCAGTACCCTCCTTTTCTATCTTTGTGCTATCTACCAGTGAGTTACATCCCAGGTGGGTGATCATGAGGCCAAGGCAGGACAGTGAACTGTAAAAAAAAGCATTCCTCCAAGCTCTCCTGAGTACTTGCCAGAATACAGCTCCCACATGGTACGGGTTAATTAAAAATATGGGGCTTAACACTGATCTCTGCTTCTAAAGCCACCATTGTAAGCAGACTTATTTCCAATTAACACCAGAGTAAGTGATATGAAAATCAGCCTAAGAAGCTATTATGTAGGGACAAGATCCCCTGGCCTGGCCAATCTACAGTTTCTCTCTCCCCTCAAATAACTCTGTCATTCCAGTAATGACTTTTTTTTTTGGCATTGTGCATCACTTCATTACTATTCAAGGAGCTCAAGCACTTTAATGAGATGCTGATGGATATTTCTTGCAGATGTGTGGAATGTAATTACATCTCCCTTTATACCGAAGTACCTCTCGGCCCCACGCTGTGCCTCCCTACATGGAGTGATCTACCTTATTGGTGACAACACCAAGAAGGTTTATGTGTACGATCCGGATGCAAACATATGGCAGAAAGTAAGTGACATAGGTAGCTAAGGAGCGCTGTTCTGGGCACTGCTATCATGCCAGCCACGTTAAGGGAGGGATCTAATATAACCTTTATAGTGCTTCACCCCACAGTAATAAGACCCCCACATTCCTCCTGATTTCAATGGGAACTGATATGTAAATATTTAAAGATTCTCTGGGGGGCCCTTCTCTCTAACCCTCTCGTGGGCAAAAGCAGAGCTCAATTACAGTGTTTATTTAGATCTTAGGCTTCCCCATGAGGATCCACCATAGCGAGGTAGATGCCTGTTTCTTGAGTGGTTGGGGGAAGGGCTGTGAAGCGTGTCCTGAACCCCCGATGAACCTCACGAGTTTGTAGCTAAGTTGTTTTAGCTGATACCTCCCACCCCTGAACTAATTTCCCCTCTGCTCAGAATAAAATGCTAGCCCTGAATAAGTGGGAACCATACCAATTAAATAAAGACACTTCTTAGTTGCTGAGTGATTTGTTAGCAAAGGAGTCTGGGGCATTGTGGTTTTGACTTCAGAAGCCCCCCCATGCCTGTGGCAGAGTCCCAGGAACTGAAGGGTGGCTGTGAGGATGCCCCAGGCAGCAGCATGGCATGATTTGCCCCCCAGACCCTGCTGGCCTCTGAAGATGTGTGTAATGTTGTTGCAGGCTTGGGTTACACAAGATCATTCTGAAATCCTGATGCAGCTGTTCCCATGGCGTCAGTGCTCAGCTGACCAAGCTGCCCCCACTCTGATGTTCGGGACAGGTGCAGGGAGCACCCTGCCAGCGTGTTCCCAGCTCCCTCCCTCTGTCCTTGCAAATACCATTTAGCGCTGTCAGGTTCCCATTACCCATCAGCTCCAGTTTGGGGAATGCCCCTGTTAACTCTTTCAGCCTGATGGTTGCTGTTCCCATCTAGCTCCCTTCCTCCTCTGTTGGTATAGTGGGTCTCTGTACTGGAGAGCTGCTGCAGTCCAGGATCTCTGCATAGCCTATGGCAGAGAGAGCTAGATGGTAACTTGGATGATTACTAGTTTCACCCTCACCCTGATCTATTTACTCCAGTTCATCCCATTCAGCTGAGCTCATTTCCGGGGTTGGTGAAATCCCTTTGACTCTTTGTTAAATGAATCCGTTCTCACACCTAGCTCTTATCACCTGTCCTGCTTCTTTAGGTTAGAGACCATCCTTTCTTTACATGTGCACTCAGTCCCTGCCATGATGGGACCTCAAGACACTCCTGCAGTACCAATGGTAACAAGAGGCCCAGAAAAAAGTAGATTAGCTGGGACCCTATAAGGTTTTTCCCTTCATGTAATTAGAGGTGAATTGAGGGAAACTTGGAAGGTCATAGAAATGAAACTTCTCTAGTATTCATTCCCTGGGTGTTTCTGATAAAACATTAGATCTAAGAGTTAATACCTCACTGATACTACAGTCCAAGAATGGCTGCCATAGAAATTCCACGGACTGACTGACTGAAGATGTTTCTGAAGCAGCTCACAGCTCTTTTGATGATACTAAAACCTAGCTCACTGAAAGCACTGTTCCCCAGTAGATCACAAGGCATGGACAAAGAAGGGGTGAAGTTGACTTGCTCAATATCATGGAACAAGAGCAAAACAGCTGCAATCAGGTCTTCTAGTTCCCAGTTCAGTGCCCTCTCTATTGGGCCACTCTTGGGTGAGATGGCCTGTGTGCTGGCTCAGATTTACAGAAATTGTTTCTAGGTGTTTGGGCCAGAAACTTAAGCCAAAAGTTTCACATCTTGGCACCTAGATCCATACTGAAGTATCTCCATGAGAACGGCCTGATTTTTCAGGGGTGCTTCCAGCGGACTGAGATTTTTCTCTTTGACAAAAAGGAGTTTATGCTTGTTTCCTTGGTTTTTTTTTTTAAATGAAAGAATTTAGATTCTTCAGATGTGGCCCCCATGGAGATGTTCAGGTGAGGTACCACCCCCCACTCCGGCCCTGTGCTCCTCCCAGTCTAAACACAGGTCACAGCGGAGGACCATCAGGGTCCCCCCGTGCCATTCCACCTCAGCTCTGTAATGCATCTTACCTCCCACCATTCACCTCAGCTTCTTGTTATTTCTATGCAGGGGCTTTTAGTGGTGTTCTTTGCTGTTGGGTACAAACTCACTGAGAACTGGGATGAAATCCAGGGAGTTTGCTTCACTTATGAGGTCTCTGAGAAGCCAACAGTTATTGCACATGCATCTTGGGCCATTTCCTTAGGGTATGTCTACATTGCACAGTTAACACATGCTCTTCCTTGGGTGTTAGGATCATAAAATCTTAGAAAAGTAGGCTTGGAAGGAGCCTCAAGAGGTCATCTAGTAGGGTTGGAAGGGACCTCGGGAGCTCAAGGCAGGATAATCACTATCTGAACCATCCCATATAAATCCTTGTCTAACATATTAGGAAAACTACACAATCATTACAAGACATAACAACCTAACCTGCCACAGGTAAAACAGGGGGACAGTGGTGATCAATGTTGCCATTACCTCCCCTCCCTTTTATGCTGTAATCTTTTACAGCAATTTGGTAGTGTTTTAAACCTGAGCTAGCTGGCCCAGTTGGGGATATAGGTTAGATCAGGGGTAGGCAACCCCATTACAGTTGCCAGAGTGTGGCACGCTAAGACACTTAGCTTGGCACGCGTGCCTCTGGGTGGATGGCGGGGAAGGGGCCAGGGCTACACAGCAACAAGGATTGGGCCCCTCATGGCTCCCCTGCCATCCACCCTTGGCACACCAACATCTTACCAGTTGAAGTTGCAGGTATTTTTGGCACTGACTAAAAATGTTGCCAACCCCTGGGTTAGAGCCTGGTAACCCACCTGCTTTGCAGGGAGGATTCAGGTTAAAATATTCACACAATTCCCCTTATGTACCCAGAAAAGCAGATAAGTTCTCCCCCAGTTCACCTGGAAAAGAATCATAGAGTTTCTCTGCTCAAAGTCCCATGACAGATGCCTCTAGAAGATCTAGTGACATACCCAGAGGAGAGTGACACAAACACAGACACTAACTCTGGTCTGAGTTTGCAGTACGTTAGTTTTTGCTTAAATGGAGCTAAACTGTGCGCTCAGACCCAAGTGCCAAATATCCAACGTAATGCTTCAGTGAAAACTCACCCTTTTGCCTTTCTCCTTTCCTCTTATAAAGTACTGTGCAAAGGCAGTAATGGTACATTTCTTTGCAGTATAATGTCAGCAGTCAATGCCTCTGTGTGCTTTGCAGAGTTCCAGACAGGAGTTGCTCCTTAATATAGAGCTGGGGACAAAGCTGGTACTCGATGGGTGTGGAAGCCATCTTGTTCCCTTGCACTTGATTCCACATATCGGGATGTGGTGTGAGGATGTATCCGTCTAACAGGAAAAATATCTGTTACAGGTACAGCTGCTTCACACGCTGCATGAGAATGGAGGCATGGTGCCGCTGGGAGGCAAACTCTTTGTGACAGGAGGGCGCTGGAAGGGCATGGACGGTGACTATCTGGTAGAGATGGAAATTTATGATTGTGCCAAGGATAGTTGGAAAAGGGAGGGACCCATGCCCTGCCTCTGGCTGTACCACAGCTCTTCCTCCATCTTTATGGACACCTCCAAGTGGACAGAACCCTTTCTAGGAGACCACGTGCAGTAGGAGAGCCTGGGAGCGCTGGCCAGGGTGGGGATGGGCCTGTTCACAATGTGGAAGAGTGTTTTGTTTTAAGCATCACTGTTTGCACGTTGTTTTGCCTGCACATCTCACTCTCCTCAGCCCTTCTGCTGTGCAGAGGCCACTCAGCACATCTCGGGGGAAGCCCTAGCTCATGAAATGGACTTCCAGCACAGCTCTTTTCAGTGCCGATGTGACAGGGGTGGGGCTGGTTTCTTTATTTGTCTTTTACTCATTGATTGAAGTCTCCTTGCTCGGTCTGCTGGTGGATCCTGCAAAGAGAACAATGCAAACTGGCCTGACCTGGACTGGATTTGTGTTCCCAGCTCTGAAACTGGGTCTCCATAGCACAGAGTGAGGACACAGGGTGCTGTCCTGTGGGTGGCTGCCCCACACTAGGCTTTTAATAGCCCAAATAGTTGAAACTGTTCAGTTCTTGTTTTATTGATATAGGTTGTATATACATTTTATTTATACTTATTCTATGTATAAATAGAATAAACTGCTCTGCTGTGTCTGTACAACAGTGAGCTAGATATTGCTTTATGAAAAATAAGCTGTATTTCTCTTGCTGGCAGTTACTGTGGGGATCAGATTTGCTGCTGATCAGGGAGGAAATGTCTGGGTATTTTGGTGTTTCTATTTCGTTGTATGTTCTCACAAACTACAGGCACCCAAATAAGATACACACCTTGTTTTGGGAAAGTGGAATGAAGGGGAGATTTTTTTTCAGGGTCATGGCCCAAATCTACCACATGGAGCGGCTCACTTACCCTCAGCCAGCTCACTGGCTGCTTCAGGCAAAAGCTCAAGCTTTAACTCCATCACAGCCACTGCTGAACTAGCAGCAGCTTTTGCCTCCTCAGCCAAAACCTACTGCCAATTGTAGAAGTGGCCAGGAGAGAGTTAAAACTAAGTCTGATGCTGCAGAGTGCGCTCTACCCCTCCTTCTCTGGGGCCAGGGAGAAAAGCAGAGCCAGAAACCATTACAGGTCCCTATGCAGCCATTACAGAACCTACATGCATCAATTTGAGGACAGAAAGCAGTTTCCTTTCTTAAAACCTGTGCCCAACTTTTGGATGACCGACTTTTGGGGAAAAGGTACTTGTGATATGTGAATAAATATGGTATATTTTGCTGGTATGCAAGTACTGCGTTTCTTTCAAAAATGTTGGGGCTGGCAGTAGAGCAGCCTGAATCCTACAACGTAGGCTTCCCAGTCTATAGTCAAGAGCTTTTCATCTCTCTGTGCATAAAAAACAGAGGCTGATCAGAAGAAGTACCTGCGAACCAGATTTCTGCCTTCTGAGGTGCTTTCTAAACATTGTCCAGAGGTGGCAAAATTCAGTCCTCAGTTACAGCATGTTAAACAGAGTGAATCCACATTCAGCAGAGACCGTTTGTACTTACACCCGCATCACAGAGCAGAAACTGGTTCACTACATCAGGCCCTTCTGGAGTGAGAAGGGAGCAGCATCTCGGTGTGATCTGTTTGCACAGAGCTGCATTATGATTTGGCCAGGTCATTTCCATTGATGCTGTGGAGTCATTCATCTGTAGTCTCCCATGTCACACAGTGCATCTGCCCCCCCTGCAAGTCCGCTAAGATGGGGCTCTCCTTCCTTCCCCACTGCCAGACAAACCTTCAGCAGAATATTAAGAGACGGTCTTCTTGAGGTGCTTTGCTAGAAAGTCAGGCACTAAGATAGTGTCTTCCTCTTCCCCCTTCAGCACAAGAAGGAACCTGTTACTATTCACTCCTTCCCATAACAAGTCAATATTCTTTCCCTGGATCTGAGTAAATTGGAGGGGCTGCCCAAGAGCTGGCTAGGGGGGTTTCCATACATGTTTCTTTCATATATACAACGTCTATTTTTTTCCCCCTAAAAATATTTCACAAAAAATTGTGGCATTAGCTAACATGGCCACAATATTTTTACCAACAGGTTTAATGAAATCACAATTCAATTATTTGTTAAATACCTTTTAAAACTAAGCACTTCTGCTGTTTGTTTGTATTAAAATCTCATGGGAAAAAATGGATGGGAAATGCCTTTGGAACACTGTGGTAGTGCTGGACTGATGCTGTGGCCATGATGGTCTAGCAAATATGGGAGAGGCAGCGATTTTTGTGGGTGATTATCTTTTATTGCACCATCTGCAAGGATGGGAGACATTTAGATGAGGTCTGAGTGCAGACCATTCTTGCATTCAAAAACTTACCTAAGTCTATCCCAACCATGCAGTTGGCCCAATAAAAGCTGTCACTCACAAACATCCTTGCCTTTGAAATGCTGATTTTTTGCAAGATCCTTTTCCTGTTTTTCCAGCCAGCATAAATCAACTATGAGCAGGATGACTGGGAGCAAGACCTAAGCCCTTCCTTAGGATGTAACTCTTATGGGGGTGTGATCACTCCACATGCTGCCTTTATGACTGAGGGATCTGTTCTGAGAGACACAAAATATTTATAACGGCAATAACTAGAGAATGACACTTCTTTCAATGTAGCTGTGTTGCATTGACTGCTATCTATGGTGATTGCAAATAGCTTGATTTTGTTCAGAATCTGAATAAATGATGATTATTTTAAAGTACCTGAGGTCTTATTGTATGCCTACACCAAGCAAGCATCTGTGTTGTTGAATCAGCAGTCCCAAACTGTCAGTGTCAATCTTTTTCCTTATGTTGGCAAACTGGATTGAAGCACAGTTTAATCCACGCAGGAAATGAACAGCTTTCTCTTGGCTCCGGCATCTTTTTTCACAACAACTCCAGAACTTCCACATCTCATGGGTGGCTCTGCAGTGCTGGGCCATTTTCCCACAATGCACTGCAGCCAGTATGTGGGCCAGTACTGGGGCATGTTTTTGTTTCCTGTCTTCTTGTATACACATGGAAATCTGAAGTGACGCTTGTACTGACTCTGGCTACTTCACTGTACTTAGCATTTTGTATTGTAACAAATTCAATCAACACCCCAGGCACTCCTAGTGGCAGTGGGACAAGAACCCAGACCTCCTCCTCTCAAAGGCCAAGACCTCAACTACATTAGCTGAAGGAAAGTCATAAGGTCTCCAACCCCTGGCTGAGCTGTTCTAATGCCATCTGATGAAGGGCACTTCTCTCCATGCTTCCCTTCTCCAGTTGTTATAGCATGTCAAAATGTGATATCCTTTATAAAACAACTCCTCAAATGGTGGGGTTGTAGTGGGCAGTAGGGCTGTGCGAGGCTTCAGACCATGCTTCGGATCTGGAGAAGCTTCAGATGCTTTGGCGTCCGAAGCAACTTGTCTGGATCAAAGCGCTGGCCTCATTAGGCTTTCCGAAGTGGTTCGAAACTTCCAAACTGCTTCGGAGCCACTTCAGAGATCTGGCCATAGGGTATAATGGGGAATCAATTAAATATCTATACCTTTGTTGTTTTTTGTCTGATTTGGATGAAACTTTCAGGGGTGGTAGCGTCTGCTGAGAGCATGAAGTCTGCCAAGTTTCAAAAAGATTGGTGTAGGGGTTCAGGAGGAACTGCACCCCAAATTCTTGAAAGCAAAACTCATGTCATGTACGTGTTACACCACAGGGGGTGGAAACTGCAGGGGTGGTGGCCCCTGCTCGGGCCATGAAGCCTGCCAAATTTCAAGGAGATAGGTGCAGGGGTTAGGGGAAACTGCACCTCAAGCTGCAGACAAGCAAAACTTGTGACATGGGTGACACTGTGTGTGTTAAGGCGCAGCAGGGTGACAGCTGCAGGGATGCTGGCCTCTGCTGAGGCCACGAAGCCTGCCAGCTGCCAAGGAGATCGGTGCAGGGGTTCTGGGTTCTGGGGCCCTGCATCTCTGGCTGCTGACAGGCAAAACTCGTGACATGGGTGCTTGTGCAACTGACTCTGTCTGTCTTGGAGCAGTTGATTGTCTGTATTGATTATTTCCTCTCCTTAGTCTGTGGTTTGGTAGGTATTAATCAGTGCTTGTCAACTCATTATGTAGTAGCTAGGTAGTGTGTATTGAGCTGGTCCCTGAGTGAATCATGATTAATTGGTAACTGGTAACACAGCAGCTTAGCAGCCCAGCCTGCAGTATTTCCATGCCCCCAACCCTGTGCCCCAAGATAGACACAGTTGCACAAGCACCCATGTCACGAGTTTTGCCTGTCAGCAGCTTGAGGTGCAGTTCCCCCCAAACCCCTGCACCTATCACCTTGAAACTTGGCAGGCTTTGTGACCTCACCAAGTGCTACCACCCCTGCAGTTTTGACCCTGCTGTGGCTTAACACATGCACATGACATGAGTTTTGCTTTCAAGAATTTGTGGGGCGGTTCCCCCCAAGCCCCTGTACCTATCCCCTTGAAACTTGGCAGGCTTTGTGACCTCACCAAGTGCTACCACCCCTGCAGTTTTGACCCTGCTGTGGCTTAACACATGCACATGACATGAGTTTTGCTTTCAAGAATTTGTGGGGCGGTTCCCCCCAAGCCCCTGTACCTATCTTCTTGCAACTTGGCAGGCTTTGTGACCTCAGCAGGGGCCACCATCCCTGCAGTTTTCACCCCCCTGTGGTGTAACGTACACATGACGAGATTTGCTTTAAAGAATTTGGGGTACAGTTCCCCCCAAACCCCTGCACCAATCTTCTTGAAACTTGGCAGGCTTCATGCTTGCAGCAGAGGCTACCCTCCCGACGAGTTTCATCCAAATCAGACAAAATCCAAAAACTTTATAGATATTTGATTGATTCCATATTATACCCTATGGCCGGAGCTCTGAGGCGGCTCTCAAGCTTCGGAGCCACTTTGGCTGGATTGAAGCGGGAACCTGGTCCTCAGCTCTGGATCAGATCACTGGCATCTGAAGCAGCTGGATCCAAAGCCGGATTGAATAGCTGCCTACTTGCACAGGCCTAGTAGGCAGGGTCCCTCTGAATCCCCATGGTCAATAGGTAATAACTACACCGTGGCAAGGCAGGCATGCCCTGCCTCAGAGGTGTATAAGAAGGGTGGTCACTCACATTGTGGCTGAGGTTTGGAGATAAAAATATGGATTCAATACGTGGAATCGGGTTTGTTTTCGAAACTCCCCCTTCTTTGTAGCAGCTGAAATATAGCCTGCCCCTAGAGCAAGCATCATGGCTGCTCCCTTCCCTGCTCTGCCTGCTATAGCTTTTCATGTGTCAGAGTATTAATGCTCCTTACTGAGGCTGGTGAATGCCTCTCTTTCTCAAACTTGATTTTACAACTCCCCACACATCCCTACACTCCTAAGCTTGTATTGTAGTAAGGGCTGGCATAACTGGCCAGGCAGCATGGGTGACAAATTGAAGGAATGAGAAAAATCGTGCACACATACTCACTGGGGGCTGCCTCAAGAGCCTGGGTGTATGCAGAAACAAACAGGGACTCCCTAGCATTGCTGAGCTGCCACACCATGGCTCTGTTTGGTGCCTGCCCTTGCCAAGTCCCAGCTACATTAAAAGGGAAGGTGGCAAAAATCCTTCCACGGCTCCTGATCTGACTGCCCCATCCCTTGCTACGTGTCTCCCCTCCAACGTGTTCCCCACACCCAGGGTTGCTATTTGATCCTAGACCCATAGCAGTTGTGTGTTATGCTACTTGGGAAAGCAGTTGCAAGCCCTTCAGTGTGGGGAGGAGCTTCACCACAGAGCACTATTCAGCAGTGTAAGTGCTCATTCAGGTGTGCTTGTTAAAAGGGTTTCAGGACTCTGTTGAAAGAACTGCTCCCCCACCTCAACCCCAGCCCTCTCAAAGTGTATCTTCCTCACAAAGCACAACTGACAGAAGTGGGCACAAGGGGCATGCAGAGGACATGCTGACAGTATCATCATGTGAACTATAAATGCTTTGGACTCAAAGGAGACAGGTTAGACCAGTGGTGCCCAGCTTTCCAAACCCCACGGGCCAGATGAGTGGCACAGGGTCAGTCCATGGATAGGGTCCCATGAAGCATCAGCATGTGGAATCAGTGCGATCCCATGTCCCTTGCTCCCAAGTGCCTGGATCTGGCCATACCTCGGCCCAAGCCTGAGTGCACACCAGCACAATGCTGCATGCCCTGATCTGGCAATACACTGGCCCCACCTGGCATGTTCAATGTGACCATCACATTATCTTGTGCACTGGGGCAGGGCCATGATGTTTGGCCTGGAAGACTCCTCACCAGTCTGGAAATTTGGCAGCATGGCAGCAGCAATTAACACTACCCACCCCCCCCAAAAACAAACAAACAAACAAAAAAAACCCAACAACAACTGCTGGACCTGTGAGGAGTCCCAGGTGCTGGATGATGTGGCTGTATGAGTTGAACCTGGCCCAGGGACCAGAGGTTGAACACCATCGGTCTAGACAAAAGTTATTATGTGCCATGCTGTCTCAGTGACACTGCCAAAGCAGCCGGCCACAGCAGAGAAATAGTTATCACCTACGCTTGGTTTTTCCTTACTTAGAGAAACCTGCCTGGTGGCGGAGGGGAGGTGGGGGAAGTGGCAGGGGGGGGCGACATTATTAGTGGTTGGATATAATGCACTCAGCTCCTGACTGCATGGCCCAGAAGGGCAGTGCCCAAGATAGGAAAGAGGCCACACACCAACTTCCCTTCTGCAATGCTGTATTTTCAGGAATGGACAGAGCTTTCATTCCCATGACTTCATCTGCAAGGTCTTTCCCTCTAAGGAAGGGAGAAAGCAAGAGACCAGCTTGGCTGCATCAGTCTGCAGGGAACTGCAGGCCAAGGCAGTGACACGAGAGCTCAAGAATGAGGATTAGATTTCAGCAGAGCGTGAAGGGAAGGAAGGAGGGGGTGAAGTCCCTTATTCCATACCTCCCTTCAGGCTTCCACATGTACCTCTCATCTGAAACTCCTCAACAGCCCGCTCCAATGAGGTGCTTACTGTTTAAACAAATAGGTTATTTTACAAGGAAGGGAGGCTAAAAAAAAACAACCTGTGCTTTGGTCTTGATCTTGGAAGACGCCTCTGAGGATGAATGTTTATCTCTGGGCTGCAGCAGCAGCCAGCATCAGTGGTTGGGCTGGACCGTTCTCATTGGGATGCACAATTCACGTGGCAAACAGGGTCACTTTGTCAGCATCGTGCTCCGCTGGGGGCTGACACTTCCTGTGGTCCTTCCACCTTGGGCTATGTCACCTCTCAGCGATAGCATTACATGAGGATTTGCTGAAGGACTAAACCAATTAGCTCTGGCCCTCTTGTATCCTGTATGACATCATTAATATTTCTCACTGTTTGGGAAAATAACTCTTTCCACATGGCGACAAGCCTGAGACATCTCCATCTGTCTGCTTAACAAGGGCTTCAGCAATCTCGTCAGCCCATTGGCAAGTGGTAATGATGTCACAGGGGCTGCTAAAGGTCCGTGGCAGCTTGATCGACCTTCCTGGACCACACTGTTATGACCCAGTCCTTGCTCTTGATGAATTAGGATTCTATAGGTCTCTTTCCCCTGCAGACAGTGAAGCTATTTCAGCCCATACTGTGAGGACTGGAAATGACTCAGTGTTTGCTTAGCTATAAACAGGAGACACTCTTGATTATCACCTTTCG